TTCCAGAGGCTTCCAGGTCGTAAAGCAGACCGTCTCGAAGAGGTCTGTGGTGCCGTTTCGCCAAGGGTCGGGCTGAGGCCGTCCGACTGCCCGGCTCGCTGGAGTCGTATGCAACTATGGCGTCGGATGGGTCCAAAAAAGTACCGGGAGCATGCACGGGGCTGTTGTTTTCGGCGGCTGTAGAAACGGAAGTGATAGCATCTCTTTCTTTTGCCAAATTGTCGAGTTCTTGCAGCCACTCCCTAGCCATACTAGCCGCTTTTGCGATCACGCTGGTCTTGCCGCTTCCGGATTGGCCGTAGATGACCAAGGGCTCTAAAAACGGTGGAAAATTTGTAGACAATATGTGCAACTGGGTTCTGGCTCTACCACTCTACTGGGATCCTGAAGCTATTTTCAATTTAAATTCTCAAAAAGGACAAGCGAACTATTGAAGAATTGAAAAATTAGATCAACATATTAAGAATAAATACAACTTTTCTCTTTGAACTATTGGCACTCCTTCAGTAAGATATGAAGGGACACTGAATCTCGTAGAACCCCTTAGTAGAGTGATACAGACATACCCTTCGTTTCGTTGGAGATGACAAGTGGAAGTATTTCGTAATTTGGCCTCACCTGATACCAAAGGAAGGTTGCTTTGTACTTGTGACTGTTGAATTGAACGAAGAAGCAGCCAACCAAATCATGGAACGCCACATTATATCGCAGGATGAGGTATACGAATAAATTAGAATCTCAGCCGTCCGTCTTTCTTGATTTAGTTTTTTTTGCTGATTATTCGTAGATAGTGGTTTCCGGCTCTGACGATGTCCGTCACACGACCGATGAAAACTCAGCATGGAGTCATCAGAATGACAGGACAATGGGCCGAGGTCTTCTTCGTACAATTCAACTGCCACAAGTCCAAGGCAACCTTCCTTTGGTATCCAGTAGAGGTCAATTTGCGAAGACTTTCCAGTCGCTTTCTCAATCGAAATGAAGGGTATGCTAGTGTCACTCTTTCATTAACTTTAATGAGAATTACTTGTTATTGTTGAATAGGCTTAAGGCAAGGAAAAAGGAAAGGAGGAGAGCCATAAAGAAAAAGAGTGGAAGAGAGAGAAGAAGAAAAAGAGAGGGAAAGAAAAAGTATCAACAGAACTGTCGAGCCAGTGGAGAAGGTTTGGCTATTCCTGAAACTGTTTACAAATTTCACACCTCATGTAACTAGTAGACATGAGAGTAGATATGAAGACCAAGATGGTATGACCTTCTGTTTAGTCGCAGTCTCCTCTAGCCTTAAAGCGTCGGTTAGACTTTGTTTTCACAACTTGGTCAGAGCGTCAGGGAGACGCTATGGAACATACCTAGTCCTGTGTCCTCTGCCGGAGTATGCGTGATTTTCAGCATCAGACCATTAACTTGGTACATTCTAACGTGGTCGGCAACGTCAGTAATAGGCGAAATCGTTAGCACACAGTTACAACTTATTAAAGGGGAAAGTGAAGACAATCCCCTTGACCAATATTCTATTCAACCAACGACATGAGATTTAGATGGATCTTGTGCTGATGAGCACAAGTTTCCTGGTGAACATTTCAGGATACAAATGCAGATGAAGTCGTGAGGTGACTAATTATTTGATTACCAACGACTTCATTTCACACAGTCAATATCTAATTCGCTCATCGGCAAGCAGGATACAAGGATCCATGGCCAGGGATCCCAAAGCTATACAGCCCCTGGTGAAGGTATGTCACAAGGAAGATGTGACTTTCACGAAAATCCAGGCCTCTCAGAATTCACTTTTTTTTAGTAAAACGATTTAGCAAACCTTTATTCAACTATGTAGATACGATGAGGACCTGGGTTTCAATGAATCTCTTAAGATAACATTGTTAGGGGGACTTTCATTTTGTATCAAAGTAAATGAAGAAGAGATTCATTGTTTGATCTCACCAGATGAGGACGGATAAATCTAATTTCACTCACATTTGTCCACCATGTTAGAGCAAAAAGACTTAGAGGAACGCAACTAGTCCGGAATCCATTGTCTGCATCATCATTTCCAAAGTTGAACCGTCGACGTGGTACATTCCCAAACGTTTCGCCGGCATCGTCAGTGAGTCTCGCCATTCGTTGCACCATATTACAACTCATCAAAGTGACAACTTCAAGAGAGAGACAAGTCTCTTTGACGAGTTGTTGTATGGTGCTAAGAATGGCGATACCCACTGACGAGGCCAACTACGATGCCGGCGAAACGTTTGGGAATGTACCACGTCCACGGTTCAACTTTGGTAATGATCATACAAACAATGGACTCCGGACTAGATGCGTTTCTCTAAGTCTTCTTACCAATATGACCATGTTGCGAAAACAAGGTCAAACAACCTCTATACAACGAAAGGA